AGGATATCCTCAGGAACGTAATTTTCATCGGTTTCCTCCATTTTCTATACGTTTTTTTTTGTAGTTTTCTTTTTCTGCAGGGAAAACTGACAAGTGTCGAAATTCATTTGAACATTTGCTAACAACCCAGCGAGCACAAAAACATCTCAGAGATGTTAAAAGTACGAGATTTCGAGACATTGAACCTCCACTGCGATGTTCTGTTCACTCATGAATAGAACTATTATAGAACAGCCAATGTCCGCCGCAGGCGGCAATTATGGAGATGTCCTTGATATGTCACAAAACTACCTTCTCCCTAGTTCTTTTTAAAGCGTTTTCATGGACACAACAGAACATTTTCAACGAATCTTGCGCACATTAAATCGTTGTAAAAAAACCATTTTCGAGGTACTTTTCTGAAGCCTTTTGTCAAAATAAACTTTTGCATTAGGATTCCATTTCCCTTGAATGAAAAAATGCATTAAAAATAGATTGGAACATAAAAATATTTTCTTGATATGAAATTACCTTCTTAATCGGTTTCTGAGTAGTGCTTACTACACACAGACATATAATTGGAAATAGGTTTCCCAATTTTTGAAATGTTCTCCACGCAATGCATAATTTTGCAACTACGGAGAAGCTGTGTATTGATAAATTCGTACTTTTATATATTGATTACATTGAGGCACCGAACAACACATCTTGCATCTGATGGTCATTATTACAAACTAAATAAGTCTTCTCACACAATAAACTGCACCAAATTCCTTTCTGTTCGTTAGCAGCGTGATGTAAGCGTGACACGCTGCAAACGCGAATGCCAATTGCGAACAAGAAGAACAAAATCGAAAACAAATCAGAATTCATCGTATTGTGACGTAAGCATGAGACGTTGTGGTTGGGCAAACAAAGAAAGGGCACAAAAGAACAAAAACAATAATTTCAATATCCTTCTAAGACCTCTTTGGGAAGTGCATATTACGCCATTTTTAAAACATCCCAAAACATCCCAGGGATACCTCTCAGTAGGCAAACAAAGAAATACCACAGAGGAACAAAAACAATACTTCAATATCCTTCAAAGACCTCTTTGGTCAGTGCATATTACGTCTCAAAATAACATCTTCATGCCAACATTTTCAAAACATCCCAGGGATGTTTGTGCTCGCTGGGAATGTATCATGTCGTGGCAACCTAACAAACAACCTACTTCAACCAAAATGTAAAAAAGTCACTGTCAAGTAATTCTGACATTTATAGGGTACTGACACGCAGGTAGCTTTGACAAAACTTATTGATCATTATCTCATAAAAAAAAACGATTTCTTCCACTTGTTGGATGAAACATTGTATGCCACTCTTGTGTTATGTTTCCTAAGTCACTTGAGAATTTATATAAATATTTCTCGCGTGATTTATTTTCAACATAACACACTATTACCATGAATAACTATTTGCATGATGATTGAAAGATAATTGGATTGGAGATGGTGAATTTTTGACATGATTCGAAGTGGATTCTTGAATAAAACAAACATGATTAAATTATCAAATTGATGTTGATAAATTTATTACATTCCACAGAAAAGAATGATATTATGTATAGATACTTAATAGGTATTTGAGTAGGTAGGTAATCATAGATATTCATAAATATTCAGATTGTATCATCTAGTGCAATATATACAGAAAAAATATGTACATAACCAACATAACATATTTTAATCAACACTGATCAATCCCAAGTCAGAGGAATTGACGATATGAATAATAATAAATATAACAATCTAAATGTAGAAAAAGCTCAACAAACTTATTTGATGAACAAAATTTCTGAAAAAAAAAACTACCAAATAAAACAATAATTCGTGTCCGAAATTCTGAAATTTCTATTGTATCCCAAATCAAAAATCGTGTGAAATGTTATTACTTTGTTTAAAAAAAATATAATTTGCTGTTTCATCAAGGAATTCAACATTTTAACTATCATAAGTTTACAAACAAAATAGTTCAGCTCAGTTGAGCCTGAGAATAGGGAAATCCCAAAGGAACTTTTCACATTCTCTTACACACTAAATATGGAATAGTATGTACAAGTATAATTTATTATTATTAACTATTGACATCAGAGATTATATACCGACTTTAACATGAAATTTGTATAAAATAAAAAATAAATAAAAGGTCAGCCACATAGTAACAGTCCATAGTCGAATTCATATAGGAATGCTATGAATTATCATGGAAAATTCCATTTATATTTTTAGCCATCACCTATTTGACGCATTCCTAACAATGACACTGGAAGCAATTTTCATAAATTCTCATCTTCATGAATAAAATTACATAAGATATTCCATATACCTACATTCTCAGCCAATCAGATGCTATTATTTTGAATTGTCGCAAGACGAATTCCGAATATTCCCAATATTTTTCCTCCTTACAATAAAATCTAGAGCAATGAATGACCACCTCCTTGATTAACCTACAGACAGTATTCAATAGAAATTGCTCAGAGCATTCCCAAATTCCGATGGATATTCGACTGGATGGTCTACTGAATTGAATCAATATATTATTTGACCAAACACTGAAGTTCGAACAAAAATTAAACTGCCTTAACTTTGTTGTGCAAATTTCCTGAAAATTATTGAAGAGGGAGGTTATTCAATTATCTTTTTTCATGTAGGCGTGGATTTTCCTTAGGCCATCAAATTTTTCATGGAAGATATTTAGTGAACATTCTTGTGTCAAATTTGTAACTAGGAACCTATTGTTAAACTGTTGTTTGATCATTCTTATTTATTCAATCAAGTGTAAAATTTCCTCACATACTCTTCCATATGCTTACATTCAAGCAAATAATCATAAATGTATTCACACTTGAAAATTCTTGTAAATAGGTGAAGTAGTTGGAAAACTCAGAGATTAAAATAAATAATGGTACCGATATTAATATTGCACAGACATCAAGAAGAACCCGCAGGAAATTCAGACAGACAATATTGCCTTGCATTTGATTCATACTGGTATTCAACTATTCCCTCAATATCTAAATCGACAACTTAGTTATCAAAATGTTAATGATTTGACATCAAAAATCAATAAGGGTCTTTAGATTAGTTTTGAGATTGAAGCCCATACGGACCAAGGAAAATGCTTGAAAGCATACTATATCGTTCATCTTTCTTACTCTTATGATTCACAGCATTTGCCTATGGCTGCCAACTTCATACTCATGGAAAATGACCAAGGTGTGTATTTAAATTTTTTCACTACAAGCAATAATTTGTCATCATTCTAGTTTCGTGAAACCAAAGGACGTATTTTGGAATCGCGTATTTTTATGCATGACTGCCATTCATGTAGGGGATTACAAAAACATTCCGAAAATGGTTTCAGTTTTTATACAAATGGTAGTTCCACCATGCAAAAATTCCTGCAGTCATTTCAATTATCGTTCCATATGATTTTCGGAGTGCTGAATCGGCTAAGATATCCAACATAAGTGCTTGGTACAATTAGAGATATTAGCAAAAAACAAGCGAAATTTTCTCAGTTTTTGGTTTTTTGCTTAAAATAAGTTTCCTACCTTTTTAAAAGAAAACTAAATTTGTCGCATGTAGGTCTAGTACTCGGTCAAATCTTGAGCTGACAAAACTAAAGATGTAGCAAGTTTTGTCAGCTTCAATTCGAAGTCAGAGCAACGCTAGAAGATTGAAAAGTTGACTCATAATTTGCTATAAGTAGAATTGAACAACAATTATTACAATTTTCCGATATTCGACTTTGGCAGTTATGAAACATTATTGAAAGCATAGTATGGTTTATTGTTTTCACTATGAATGCAGACTGAAAAAGAGATTCAATAACCGATCGACAACTACAAAATTTCCTACGACATTCATGTCTGTGGTTTGACCGGGCACATACGTTCAGTGTGAAGTCTGACCAACCAGCTGTTTGGGACTATCGGTCACGTTTCAAACCTGCTCACAACTTTTGATGAGAGTCGAGCCAACCATTGACCATCCTGGTATCACCACTGTGGTCGAACTAATGACTTGACACAGACCAGAGCATCTCTGCTTGCGCTGGATTTGATCTCTGGCCCATTCCTATTCAGGTTGATCCAGGTATACCTGAATGATCTGGTGAATGATATTGAACCGCTTCATAACAACAGTTGAAAGCATACCATGGTTCATCTTTCCCAATCTGATTGCAGCGCCAATTAGCAAACGTCAACTAAAAAACGGCGTACGACAATAATTATGTGGATACCAAATCGTCTCTGCTTGAGCTAGTCTTGATCTCCGACTCCTTCTTGTTCACGTTTGTCCAGATATACCTGAAGAATCTGACAAATGGAATTGAACCGCTTAGTTAAAACAATGTCCCAATCTTCGACTTTGGCAGTTACGAAAATTATTCGAAAGCATACTATGGTTCACTTTTTTCACAAGGAAAACAATAACCGAACGACAGCCACAAAGTGTCGTACGACATTTATGTAGACCCCAGGCTGTTTCCGCTCACGCCAGTCTTGATCTCCGCTCCTTCCTGTTCACCTTGGTCCAGATATACCTGAAGAATTTGATGAATGGAATTGAACCACTTAGTAAAAACAAATGTCCCAACCATCGACTTTGGCGGTTACGAGAATTCTTCGAAAGCATACTATGGTTCATTTTTTTCACAAGGAAACCAATGTCCCAATCATCGACTTTGACGGTTACGAGAATTCTTCGAAAGCATACTATGGTTCATTTTTTTCACAAGGAAAACAATAACCGAACGACAGCCACAAAGTGTCGTACGACATTTATGTAGACCCCAGGCTGTTTCCGCTCACGCCAGTCTTGATCTCCGCTCCTTCCTGTTCACCTTGGTCCAGATATACCTGAAGAATCTGACGAATGGAATTGAACCACTTAGTAAAAACAAATGTCCCAATCATCGACTTTGGCGGTTACGAGAATTCTTCGAAAGCATACTATGGTTCATTTTTTTCACAAGGAAACCAATAATCGAACGACAGCCACAAAATGTCGTACGACATTTATGTAGACACCAGGCCGTTTCCGCTCGCGCCAGTCTTGATCTCCGGATCCTTCCTGTTCAGCTTGGTCCAGGTGTCGCCGAGCGCTTTGGCGAAGTGTTCGTCCACCGACATCCCCGAGCTGTCCATCAGCTCTATGACGGGGGGCATCCGGGGGGACTCGGGGCTCTTGGGGGGCGAGATGGGCCGCGGAGAGGGCGCCCTCTCTTTGGGCGGGTCGATGTTCTGGAAGACGGCGTGATAGTCGCTGCCGAGAGATCGTCGGAAGTGCTCGTCGATTATCGGGTCGCACATCGAAATACCTAGAAAAGAAGTGAACTTTCAGATAGTACAGGGTCATTTCGTATATTTATAGAATAATAGAATAGAACTTTATTTACGGTTATCCATTGCATACATTATAACCACAAATATTATTACAAGATGGGAAAAATATATACCTATGTAAATATTCAACAAATACAAATAAACATAAATAACAAGAGAATATCCTAAATCAGTATGAATCTATCACAGTTATCACTCACAGTTGCTATGTATCCTAGATCATTAATATCATTATGAATCTATATCACAGTAATCAATCACAGCTGCTTATAAAGGGGTACTATTAATGGTAATCAATGACTTCTTGAATAACTGAAACGAATTACTGAAAATGTCGAAATGTATACTATAAGGAATACGCATGATTTTTTGTTTAATCGAAATTATATTCCTTCTTCCTTATAATAACATTGGATATCATTTATTAATCTCAAATTTGCTTGTGACTGAAAAATTTCATTTAAATGAGGCTAAATATGAAGTCACAGGAAAACGGGTTAGTGGCCATCACTAATATTATGACGTCATAGTATTAGGCCGCACAGCCATAGACTAGCGCGACAGAATGACAAGATTCAGTTTGAAAAAAAAAAAGAAGAGGTAGGAGAAGAAAACAGTTTTAAATCACCAGGAAAAATATTCCTTTCATTGCCAGTGGGATCGAGTGATAAAAATAAAGAGAAAAGAAAATAATGGTTGCAAGCCATAAATAGAAATGATTTATCCGAGAAAACCAGAGGATTTGTTTGTGAAGACCATTTCGAAGTGAGTATACGTTCAAGTATGTCCTAGTGAAACCCATTATATATCAATGATTATGTACCTCATTATGTATGTCATGTTATTAGGAGAATAATATAATATGTGATTTCGTTTTCAGCTTGAAGATATGGAAAACTATATGAGATATAAATTGATAGGTGGTAATATATATTTGAAACAACATGCAAAAAGAAGTCCTGTTTGATCATTCTTATTGTAGATATTTGCTTATTATTCAGTTATTATTATTCAGAATATTGAGATCATATAATTGAGATAGATTATAGTTATAGAAACTACAAGCTCAGATAATCATAACCTCACTTTCTCTTCTTATATTATTTTCAATCTTTCGGACATGAATGTTTGACATGACAAATAAAAACAGCCACATCCAGTCGGAAATCATCGCTGCAGTTCGGCTGTTGGTCGGAAAGTTGCAAATATTATGATTTTCAATCAGAAATTATTGAATATTCGGTGCTTAATAATGTTTTTCGGATGTATAATTCGACATCTATACATATGAGTAATGGAACAAAAATATATTCCAGTGTAAAATTTTCACACGCGTATACCCTGTATCCTTGAGAGAGGGCTATGCATGCCATAATTTGTGGAATGATGGTTAATGTAAAATAGTGCTTTGCTTCTAGTCCTACTGTTTGTACTTAGCTGAATTTCGGATACAAGTTCGGGACAGTCAATGATACCATTCAACAATTTATATAAAAAGAGCAAGTCTGTGTTGATCCTACGTTTTTCTAAAGTTTCCAAACCTGTGCTATTTTGAATGTTGTCATAATCATGATTCCAATTCATTCCCAGTCTGAATGCATAATGCCTGAGGAATTTTCTCTGTATTCCTTCAATTGTCCCGATATCAACACTGTAGTTAGGACACCATATCACAGAAGCATATTCTAAGCCTGACCTAACAAGTGCACAGTATAATAATTTTAAACTATTAACTGACATATCATTTGTGTTTCTCATAACAAATCCAAGATTTCTATAGCCAATAGTAGCTACTTTCAAAATATGTTGTTTAAAGGTCATTTTATTATCAATCAAAATGCCTAAGTCTTTGATTTCAGCGACGCGAAGCAACGATTCATCTTTTATTTTATAATCAAATGTAAGTGGAGAGTTGGATCTAGAGAATGTTATGCAGAAACACTTGTTGACGTTCAGACACAGTGCATTAAGATCAGCCCAATTACAAAAATTCTCAATGTCATTCTGAAGCTCATTGCAATGATTGATATTTGATATTGTTTTGTAGGTTTTTACATCGTCAGCAAACACCAAATATTTTGAATTTTGTAACACTTCATTTAAATCATTGACAAACAGGCTGAACAGAATTGGACCACAATGGGAACCTTGAGGGACACCAGAAGAAACCTCAATAGCATTTGAAATGAAGTTATTAATTCTAACACATTGAATATATTTAAGCAGCTTCTAACGGGTTCATCATTGAAGAAGAGAAAAACTTTAAATACAAAAGTTGTATGGTTTCTTCTCCCGTGCCCCTATGGAAACTTCTTCAGTGCCCCTGTGGAAAGTTAATAACTACCTCAATTTCGGTATTAACGAAATAGTTTACGTATTTACTGGAAATATTGCGGAACTTGTAACCTTCAGCATATTCACTGAATATAATGAAATATCGCTCAGTGATGAGCTTTCTTCCTCTTCTTAATCTTCTCCTCCTTCTGGTTTTGATGCTCGGAGGCTCTACTAGCGCTTCCCATAGCTTCATATTAAGCATTTATGTCATAATTTTCCGCCACATGCATTATTTACTGATGTACCTTGAAAATGTTAAGGATTTCAACTGTTTCAATGATCATTGTTGATAGTAAGGATATATTACAAAGTCGTTATAAACTTTTTTTTTTATGTATGATAAATTGACATTCATCATACAGGACGTGGAAAGAAATTCTGAATTGGGAAAACCTAATCACGAATCTGCGATTGAGGTCTATAAAAATAACAAGTTTCCATCGTTCAAGTTTGAACCCCTTGATTGGGTGAAAGTATTGAAAAAGAATATTCTCAGATATACAGGGTGTCCGGAAATTATGCGCAAAAAATCAAGGGGTTGATTCTGCATGAGAAAACACGAAATTTATTTCATATATACGTGGGTCCGGAAATGCATAGTTTTCAAGATACAGTGTGTTAAACTTTTTAGAAAAAATCGTTTTTTATGAATATCTCAAATATCCTCCCACAGATTCTCTTGAAATATGGCAATGATATTCTTTGTCATGAGGGGCTGATTTAGCCATAATTAAATTGAAATTGTGAAATCCAGGGGCGTCCCGAGGGCACCCTACAGAATATTATTGTCAATAAAATGTGCGCCACCGATTTTTTCAAATTCTATATCTTCATATCCTAATGATTAACTAGAAATACAACATTTTGGTGTCTTGAATTGTTTTGCTATTTCGCTGCGTTTCCGTAGAAAAAAATGAATACCAATTCATTGTACAAATTTGTGCAAAACATTGCTTCAACAACAGGGGTACAATTAAATGTGTGATCCATGTCGTTACTACCGATACAACTAGGCCTGCATGCTCCGTGGGTGACGTCACTTAGTGAGGCCTAACCAGCGGCTCGAAACGACAAGCGCTTATAGCGCTATAAGGCAACCGCGTATTTCGATTTTAGTTTTAGATCATCATTGAGCCGATTTTGCTGTTTTTTGAAGGGCTTCCAGTTAAAAAAGGATGCCAGTCGTCAACTGAGCCCTTCTTCGCACCCCATTCGATTTTATTATGGAAAAACGAAGTTTTAAAGCAAAAACCAGGATAAAACACAAATATCCACCTACAGCAACCCATTCGAATTAAATATATTGGCAAAAATTGTGGTGAAGGTAAAGTTCATACCTACTTATACAGGGCCCGCAGAACATAAACTTATCGTGAGATTGATCGAAAGAAAATTGTGGAAAATCTATTCTATTTTGATTGACATTCCGTTTGTTACAATTACCTATATTTATCTTGGAAAATTCCTATTACCTGAAAAAATAACCAGTGAGTGTTTTCAATTTTCTGTTGTTGGATTTTTCACCCAAGTGGATCGTTACACTTGGAACCGTAATTTTTAAGGGTAAAACTGCATTTATCATGCGATGTTTTTTTTTTTTAATGTTTTTCGGTACTCACGTATTTTTGTCTGATAAACCGAATTTTATAATGAAAATGTGAACAAACCACTATTTATTGAGATATTTCAAGAAAAAGTTCGAAATTTCGCCTTCTTTCTCCCCTTGTGTTGGGAGCATTTGAAGCTACTTGCTCTTATTTTGTCATTGGACACTTTATATACTCATGATGTACTTCGATGGCACATTTTTATATAGAAAATTCAACAGGAAATATGATTTTTATGGCGAGTTTTTCATATTTAGTGAATAAGCATTCCAGATTACGACCATTTAATCAATAGTCAATCACAATACGAGATGTCAAATGTCAATAGATTGCTTTCTACCTTCTTTTCAGTAAATATGGATTAATCTCAAGAAAATCATATTTATAGTTGAATTATATATAAATTTTCCAATATGATGAAAAAAGAAGGGTAATATGTTCTAAATGCCATCCAGAAGACAATTTAAAAAGAAGGTGAAATTTGTACCTTTTTAGTCAAATATCTTCATGATAAATATCATGATAAATGCAGTTTTACCTTTTTAAGTAGAGTGTTTGTAGTTCATGTTAATATGATAGTTGCAATTTGATCATTGGAATGAATTCTGCATTCATTGCCACGAGGCAAATGACCGTTTTCAGAAAGAAATTTGAGAATGAGAATTAAAAATGCCCGTTTATTCTGAACATTCAAGAAAATTCCTCGAATTCAGAGATGATTTTGTTGACTATAATATACGAATACAAAACTAACTGCACAATCAAAGCTTTTCTATTTTTCCTCTACTTATACTTTTTATGAGAGAGTAATTGTCTTTATTATTAATTCATCATTATAAATTAAGCTCTGTTTACTACTGAACTTAGATGGAGTAAAATCCTCGCGGTGAATTGCATATACCCACATTTTCGATAGCTCCTCGTCCAACGGGAAACTAAAAGCATGAACTTTTGAACCACCCACATAATTCCCCCGACAAAAGGGAACACAACACTTGAAAGGCATTGTTATTTCGCCGATCACAACACAA